GGGGAAGACAACCTGAATGTCCGCCAACAGACGAATGATAAGGAAAATGTAATCCATACACACAATTGGGTCTTATCCAGCCATAAAAAGAAAGAAATCCTGCCACTGTTGCAATTGGATGGACCTTAGTAGCATTATGCTAAGTGAAATAGGTGAGACAGACAAATATGATCTCATTTATATGTGGAATCTTAAAAACATAAAAAAGAAAATAAAGTTCATAGATACACCAAACGGATCAGTGGTTGCCAGAGGCAAGGATTTGGGGGTGGGTGAAATGGATCAAGGGGGCCAAAAGGTACAAGCTTCCAGTTATTAAAAAAAAAAAAGTGTTGGGGAATCCAATAAACAACATGGTGATTACAGTTAATAATACCATTTTGCATATCTGAAAGTTGCTAAGACAGCATATCTTAAAGGTTCTGTTCACAAGAAAAAAATTTGTAACTGTGGTGATGAATGTCAGCTAGATTTATTGTGGTACTCATTTCACAACATTCACAAATAGCCAATCATTATGTAGTACATCTGAAACTAATATAATGTTGTATGTTAATTATATCTCAATCAAAAAAGAGGCGTGACAGCAAGATTAACAGTGACACCCTCCTTTGCATCAGTCAGGGATAGGCTACGTTATGTGGCAGTAACAAAGAACTCCAAATCTCAGGGGCTTAATTTAACAACAAAGATTTCTTTCTCATGCTCACAGTAGGTTGACTGGGGCTTTGCTCTGTATCCCCCTTAGTCAGGGACCCAGGCAGATGGAGCCATTTCAAATCTTGCCAGCCACTGCAGCAGAGGAAGAGAGACTGAGACAAAACACACACTTCCTTGTAGAACGTCTGCTCAGAATGACTTCCATCACACCTGCTCACATTTCACTGGCCAAAGCAAGTCGCATGGCCATGCTGAATGACCAGGAACTGGGGAGGTACAGTCCTACCGTATGCTGACAGAAGAAAAGAAGAAAGAGAAAGGGAACAAAGAGTGCATGTGAGCACCCTCACTAAACCAGCCATCCATTCCACAATTACCCTCCTGCCCATCACGTGGCTGTCCCTCCCAGCAGCTCACATCCCTCTCGATGATTCTAAAGTCATCTGTGCCAAACTGGTCCCCACAATCTTCAATCACATTTTAGATGACGTGATAGATAACAGTGCTTTCAATTTGGCTCCATAATCATAAAATAAGGGAAACACAGGGCAAAACCTCTGGAAGGACCTAGCCCAGAATCCCTCCTTCTCTTTACAGGAGGAGAGACCGGGAGTCAGAAGAGCCACCATGTGCAGTAGACGGAATTCTAAAATGGTCCCCAAGATTGCCACCCCATCATGAGCACACTGGTCCCCAAGATTGCCACCCCATCATGAGCACACTGGTCCCCAAGATTGCCACCCCATCATGAGCACACTGCAGGAACGACTACCTCCCCTGGGAACATGAGCAGACCTATAAACAGGATGAGACATCACTCTAATCAATGTTACTTTACATGACAAAAAGGATTTTGTGGATGTAATTAAGGTCCCACGAGTTAACAAAAAGATAGATCATCCTAGGTGGGCCTGACTTAACCTCAACGCCTGTAAAAGAGACACAGTGGCAGTAGGCACTGCGCTGCTGGCCTAGAAGAAAGCAAACAGCCATATTGTGAGTGGCCTACGAAGGGGGCCACCTGGCTAGGACCTGGGGCAGCCTCTAGGGCAGCAAGGAAATGGGGATTTTAGCCCTACAGCTGCAGAACCTGAATTGTGCCAACACCCTGAATGAACCTGGAAGTGGCCCTGAGCTTCAAGTGAGAGCACAAACCCAGGCAACACCTTGATTTCAGATCCTGAGCTGAGAACCCGGCTGACGTAGGCATGACCCATGAAAACCACAAGATTAAAAAACAAAATTATTTTCGCCACTAAGTTCAAACTAATTTGTTATGCAGTAATAGCACGCTAATATGCCATGGCAGTGGCAGGTTCTGCAACTTCCTGCTGCTGAACTGAACTTCCAGAAGTTTAGCAACTTCTCTGCTGAACTCTGCCACCAGGCACATCTTTGCACCTGGGGAGGCAACTAGAATTTACCCATGAAGCCATCAGGAAAACAAGCTCAAACCAACAGCCCCCAGTCTCTTTTCTTGCAGCCTATGTTTCATTCAAACCATCTCATACCAAAGATGAGAGAATCTTTCAAAAACACTGCTTTTGCCCATGCCCTTCCCTGCTCAAAAACTTGCAGCAGCTCCAACCTCCTGCCCAGGAACATCAAAACTGGGCTTCTAATCCCAGTGTTCAAGGCCTTCCAGCTCTTTATGTCCCCTCACAGAACACACACTCTCACCTAGGTCTGAGGGGATCTGCCCAGATTGTTCCACTCTGTGCTCATCCCCAGCAGCCTGTTCTCAGAGGCACGACCCCTGGTCCCTGTTCATCTGATGGGTCTGTAACACCCTCCCCCTCAAGGATATAACCAGCCCCCTTACACAGTGAGTCCCACCCACTGTACTCATTCTTCGACTGTTCCATCACATCTGGCACAAATACCAGGCATTTCTGCACTTGAGTCCATCCAATAATCAGTCATCACAAGTATCACATCATTTATAAATTTCTACCTGCCAAGATTTCAAGTTCTCTAAGGGTAATAACCATGGTCACTCCAGGTGCTACATCCAGAATCTGAAAAGGTATTTGTAGTCATAACTAACTGCAAACAACCCAAAGAGTTATCATCAGGCGAGGAGATAAACAATTTTTTATTTCCATTCAATTGAATACTGCTCAGTTTTTTTAAAAAGGGGGAATAAATTATTAACAACATGCTATCATGTGGATGAATCTGAAAAACATTATGCTTTATTATTTATAATAATATTACTTATTTTTCAAAAAATCTAGAAAAAGTGAGATAAATCTATAATGACAGAAAGCAGATAAGTGGGTGCCTGGGGCCAGGGTCAGGGGAATGGTAACAAAGGGACTCACAGGAACTATTTGGAGGGACTGATGCGGAAGCTGAAGCTCCAGTATTTTGGCCATCTGATGTGAACAGCCAACTCACTGGAAAAGTCCCTGGAGGGCAGAAGGAGAAGAGACCACCAGAGGATGAGATGGCTAGCTGGCATCACCAATGCAATGGACATGAATTTGGGCAAACTGTGGGAGATAGTGAGGGACAGGGAGGCCTGGCTCACTGCAGTCCATGGGGTCGCCAAGAGTCAGACACAACTGAATGACTCAACAACAACAAATGTTCTGTCTTGACGGTGGTGGTGGCTACATGAATGTATCTATTTGTCAAAACACATCAAACTCCATACTTCAAACGAAGGCATTTTATCTTATGTAAACAAGGCCTCAAAGTTGACTTCAAAAATTCTTTGTATATTCTAAGTCAACACAGACTCTGTTGGAAACATCATGGAACATACCTTTCTGAAATGGAGGTCTGTATGTGACCTGTAAAGATAAAGCCTAGGAGGATGCCTATGGAGGCCTGTTCAGGCACTGGTCCCTACAACATGGGTAAAGTCCTCTCTCCCAGACAGATGAGCTCCCAGGCTGACAGCACAGTAGCTTCAATGGTGAGTTAACCGACTTAAAGAGGACTTGCTTATCAATGGAAGCCCAGAAAGAGGGGGAGAGAGGGCAAAAGAGAGCATGTGTTCAGGAAGAGAGGCCTGGATGTTCAAAGGGCATCTTGTCTACCCTGGAGGGCCCTTGCAGAGGCCTCACCATGACCCAGAGGAAGAGTGAGTCCAGCCCCACGCCCCTGCTCTGAATCCACATGCCCTGGACACCAGCCCATTTATGGTCTGACTGCCAAAGGAGTGGAGTCCTGGAAAGGGGCATGGGGCTCACCACCCAAGAAAGGCACCCCTGTCTGCCCCAAGTGCTGGAGGGCCACGGCCCGGGTCACGCTGTCTCATGTGGCCTTTGGCTAGCCAGGCACGACCCCGCCTTCCTGCTGTCACTCAGGACACCCTCTGCAAGTTGAGTCTTGGTGAGGGGGCAGCTGGACAGGAGCAGAAAGCAGGGTTTCAGCCCTGGAGAGACCAGAGACAGAGAGTGATCTCTGGGAAAAGCGGACTGAAGAGCAGAGAGGCCTGGGAGCCAGGAGACAAGAAGAGGAAGGAAGAGAGGCTCGGCTGAGGCCAGGAGTTGCAGCAGAGACGAAAAGGGGAAGAGAAGCCGATAGAGGAAAGAAGGGGAGACTGCTCTGCAGTCTAGGGTGGGGGACCCAGGGCCTGTTCATACATAGGGCTGCCAGGCCACCCTCCACCTCACCAAACCTCCGATGCTCCTTTTCCCCCCACCGCCGCCCCCATCCTCCACCACCCACACTGTCAGCCCCTCCCTGACCCACCGGCCACAGCCCAGAGCCTGGACTCGGCTCCCTTCTTGCAGGCCAGGACTTACCTGCCTCTCCATGGGATGCTGCCAGAAGGAACCTCCTGCCGCCCACTCGCTGAAGCGCGTAGAGGTGCTCGGTCACGCAGAAGGGAACCCAGGAGTGTTAAGTGTTCTGTCCCAGGTGTGTTCACCGTAGCTCTCCCGGCAGCCCCCTGGGGAAGGCAGGCCAGCCTCCACTTGGCTGTCAGAGCACCAGGGGCTCAGAGGGTTGGCTTAACTAACCCAAGTCCCAACAGCTGGTGAGGGGCCAGTGGAGAGGGAAACCCCTTTCCAGTGTCTCCCTACGACTCCCAGGTGGACTTAACTACAGAGCCATTCAACTTGTTTTCCTGATTAAAATCCTTTATCTACCACCCACTGCTTACAGCTGTGTTTTTCAGTGATTTCTGTCCTTGCTGTTGCCATAGTCTATTATTTCAAAAATATACCTACACAGACACTCACCTGTCACCCAGAAAACGGTGGAGCTTACCAGATGTGCATGGGGGTGAGGCCAGTACCCCGCCTGCTCTCCTTGCTAACAGCTCCTCTTGAACTCTCACCAGGGTACGTGTGTGCTCACTCAGTTGTATTCAACTCTTGGCAACCTCATGGACTGCAGCACATCAGGCTCCTCTGTCCATGGAATTTCCCAGGCAAGCATACTGGAGTGGGTTTCCCTTTCTTACTCCAGAGGATCTTCCCGATCCAGGGGATCGAACCAGCCTCTCCTGCATTGGCAGATCGATTCTTTACCATTGAGACACCTGGGAAGCCAAGTCTCACCAGCTTGTCCACTTAAAACTGAACTCCTGTTCTGAGCCTGGGCCTCTTCCTGTAATGACTGGTGGAACCACCACTCAGGGACCTGAGAGCCAGCTCCTTCCCACATGCTCCCTCACCTCCAGGAGAATCAGCCAGCCTTCTCCATCTCTCTTGAGCCGGCCTCCTGCTCCCCAACTGCATGTGAACACCCAAGCACTCAAGTCCAAGCAAGCATAGTGGCAAGCATTCTTCCTGGAATGGTGGCACAGGCTCCTCACTTCTACTGTTGCTCCCCAAATGTCCAGTGCGTTCCCCACACTGCAGCCAGAGTAAGCGAACACAGAATTCCCAGCCAGAGTACAAGGCCACCCTGACACAGGAACTTCCTGACATTTCAATGGCCTTGTCAGTCCCCTCTGCCCTCCACCAAATACGACCATATATTTCCTTCTTACTTCTATTTTTTTTTATAACATTGAGATGAAACTATCAATCCAAAGGTAATCTGAGAATCAAAGAATGGGATGTGACCTGTTCTTGAGTTGTAGCATGACCACTGAGTTTCACTGGCCACAGAGCAGAGTTCATAGGGTCCTCTTCTCTTGCCTGCAGCTGTTACAGCAATAACTTCTGTAAAATATTCAGAATTAATCACAAGGAATGTACACGTCCAAAGCACTCTTATGTTCCACTGACATGAAATAATAAATGTGGATATATGGACATCTGGTTGACAATATGATGTCCTAAGATCTAAAACAAATCTGATGATGTCATTAAATACCTATCTTTCTACTTTTACTTGTATTAGAACAAGATCCCTCTCAAAATCTATATTTATACATGGAGTTGGCCACATGGTCATATAAATCATGGGAAAATTTGGAGCAGATGGTATTGGGTGGCTGCAATTCTGTGAAGACTGCATTTTAATGGAAAAATGACACAGAGCAGACTTCCTATTGTCTCACAGATGTAGTAATACAGCTACTTGAAAGGAATGTTTATATTCTAGATAGGTTGACATCTAATCAACACATGTGATTGCCTACTGTCTGGTCTTGGGGAAATCAGACATTGGGGTGTGCAGGCATTTCCAGGCCGGAGGGCAGTGAGCCACTGGGAGAAGGCTTTACAGTGCCTTCTCTGTCCGTGTGTCCTGGGCTCTTCCTCCTCTTGCTGGCCAAATGGAGATGCTCCAGGGCCTTTTCACAGTAGCCTTCCATGGCCCTGCAGCCTCAGAAACTTCTGTTTGTGAGGGAAGTGATACATGTAAGCTAAACATGAAACTCCACCAAGTATAGAAAACAACTCTTTGTGTACATTTTAAAGGTTTTTTTTAACTTCTCTGTTTTGCTGGTTTTTACTCTTTTGAGTCTGTTTCATCTGATGTTTATGTTTTGAACCTTGTTTGGAATAATTTTCAAGACATGATTTTCTAGGGTTACAACACGTCATTCTGAAGGCAAACGCCTGTGCTTCAAAGATAAAGTAGGTGGTGTTCTGCTTCATGTGGCCTCCGGCTTCTCTGTTTTTCTTCCTCCTTTTCATGCGACTGAGCGGAGCATCACAGAGCTGAATCCAGATTTTTTACTTTTCTGTAACTTGGAAAATGAATAGGTAAAGATACAGCATTCAGCATGGGAGGTCTGGTGTATAAATGAATTGGAAAATGATTTAAATAGTGACTCAGATTTTCTAACACAGGGTAAGGTGGTTTGATTCTGCTGATCCCAAGTCAGGTTAGGTGTCTGAATAATCACAGACACCATCCTCAGTTGGGCGACTATCTGTGATTTCAGGGGAGAGATGAGGTGGGTGGGCAGAAGAAGGACTGTACAAAGTGCCCCCAGCATGCACAGTGGGGTTTCAGGAATGGTGGCTGCTGAACAGGCCTCTCTCCTTGTGGGGCTCAGGCCCCACAATTTGTGTTTTCACAGGAACACCCTGGGGTTGGAAGGGCAGTCACAGACCCAGTACCTGGCTTGCACCACCTGAGTAGCCTGGGCTCAATCTTGCAGACTGAATGATAGACAATGAAGAATGACAAAAAAGCCATGAATCGGAAAATCTTTTCTGACTGAGGCAATTAATTACAAGAATCACTGAAAACAGAGTATATATTATCAACCTCTTGTATAAAGAGAGACTTGTGCATGTCTAATACGATTGAGGCCAAAACTAGACCTGGCTGCCCTTGTCATTTTATTGCCTCAAATATTTACTTAATGCTTACTACGTACTCAGCATTTATGCTCAGCAATTGTGTGACATCCCAACTAAGCAGATTTTCATGTCATTTTCATCAGCACAGTGTAGTATTTATAATATATTGCTAGATGCAACAAACTAGTTTGAATCACAAAAAGACACACAGACTGTAAGACATACAAAATTACAATATGTTAGCTATAGCTCTTTGGATAATTGGATAATGGGCAATTTTTAAGTTCATACAGCATTTAAAAAAAATAGGTACCACTACCTAGGATATGTCTAACTCAGGCTACCAAGAAAAAGTCCTCTCAACAATGAATCATCTACAACTAGCAAGAACAGCATGTTATTTGTTGCCGTAATGACACAAATCTTTTTACTGAGTGGTCGCTTACTGCATCTGCTACTGGTAGCTGGCTGATCTAGATTTCTACCTCTTAGGAAGTCCCCATGCTCAGATCCTCTCAAATCCTTGTTTCATAATTCCTTTTCAGTACACACTTCCTAGGCGGACAAGTAGGGTTCAAATCCCAGAGAAGTCATATGTCAGAGCCTAATTTGTTTTGACATATTGTATGTGTAAGAAAACTGAATTGACGTCAGTTTCAAAGCCACAAAAACCAGACCTTCAACCAGAAAACTGCATCATGCTATTGCTTTTAATCTTTTCACTTGGGCCAAGTTTAGACAAGAGACATCCACTCCAGTAATTCCAAAGGCACCGAGGCGTGCAGAGATACCTGCTGCTGGAACCCTGAGGACTCCAATGGGCAGCACTGGGGATGTGCTCTGGTGAGTGATGGCCAGGCACTTCTCCTTAGAAATACTGACTGCACTAACTCAGTGTTTTTGGATTTCATAGAAAGGTCTCTACCTTACCATATTTGCAGAATTCACAAAGAAAAAGAAACAACAGAAATGAAATATTTGGTGGTTTAAGGATGACCAAAGATCATCTTACCATAGGGAAAAAGGTGTGTTCTTGTCCTAAATGAAATTTGATGTTGTTATGAGTCATGGATACACCCCTAAGTCACAAGACACTTTAGTAATTATCCATAGTCTGAGAAAGCCTGCCTCACTGTTGCTATAAAGTTCAAGACACAAAACTGCATGAATATTATTTTTGCTATGCAGTCAACCAGTGGAAAATACCAGTTTTGAAAGTGGACCTGCCAAACTGTACCTCTAAATCATGGTTTGATTATCTCAGCATAAGTTTTCTTAACATGTTTGCTAAACAGGGCGACACTGCCATGGATACTTTCCACTACCCTAAGACACCCCTCACACATTCTGGCTCTTTCGAAGCAACCACGTACACCAATTGAACACTTTAGCATGTCATTTGTTCTCAGCATGGATGGGAAATCCAGAGAAAAAGCAACATAAAAACGTGATGAAGAGAGAGAAAACATAAAATAAGGACAATGAGAAGGGTGGAGAGCCACCGCTCGACTGAGAAAATGTCCTGGGGTGACTTTACCCATTAAGAGTCTAGCCACCATGTTGAGTCTAATCAAAGCCACTTTCTGCGAGAGGGTACAGAACAGATGGATGAGCACACTTGACTGAGCGAGCTGACAACAGGGGTGACAGGAGGGAGCTGCAGCTCAGAGAGAAGGTGGGAGACGGCCTTGTCCCTACTCAGGGAGGCGGCAGCCGTGTGCCAGCCGCCACTTGCTTTGTCACGGTGCCACACGCAGAGGGACTGTGCTCAGCTACCAGCTTCTCCGCACACCTGAGCTGTGTCAAATGGAACTGTCTGCCCTTTGGTCTCTTTGGAAACCCTGGCTGGGAAAGGACCATTCTGGATTCTGTGCTGGGTTCCTCAGAGAGGTCGACAGGCCTGCCCATATCCATCCAGATACCTCCTGCTGGCCTGTGACAGAGACTAAGCGAGCACAGCCCAGGAAAGACAACTTTACTGTCGTTCTGCTGCCTGCATTCCCTCCTCAGTATTTCCGAATTCTGCCCACTTCTCTACACCTGCATTACAAACCCCATAGAGTGTGTGGGAAGTGAAGCACTTTGGCTCAGAACCCTTTGGGGTAGGACACAGACATATGTACAGCAATAACCTTATTGAGAATTCTAGGAACTTCCTTGATAGTCCAGGAGTTAAGAATGCGCCTTGCAATTCAGGCAGCACAGGTTTGATCCCTGGTCAGGGAACTAAGCTGACAGGCTGCAATGAGAGATCCTGTGTGCTGCCACTAAGACCTAACACGGCCAAATGAATAAACATATATATTTTTAAAGAATTCTGATGTCCACTAACATTTGAGAACCACACAGCTGAACTTAAATTTCTGCCTTTAAGGCTCATATAATTTCCAAGCTTATTTTTCAGTGTGAATTTGTACCTTTTGGGGATAAGGAGGAAGATGGATGTAGAATGAAACTCATGGTCTTCTTGAATCTCCTTTTTAAAGTCATTGGTATTTGGGCTGAATAAAGAGACTTATACATTATGTGGGATTGGGAGAGGAGTGTATTGCTAAAATTAGAGGGATTGTTTTATTCATTTATTTATTCTTGAATCTCCTTTTTAAAGTCATTGGTATTTGGGCTGAATAAAGAGACTTATACATTATGTGGGATTGGGAGAGGAGTGTATTGCTAAAATTAGAGGGATTGTTTTATTCATTTATTTATTGACCACATTATGTGGCATGAGGGATCTTAGCTCCCTGGCCAGGGATCAAACTCAAGCACTCTGCATTGGGAGCATGGAGTCTCAACCACTGATCCACCAGGGAAGTCCCCGGATTAGAGTGATCATTTTAAATGAGGGAAGGACATTCCTCTCGGTGGCCTCTGGTGGAACTAATCCAACCCACTGCTTACACTTAAAGAGTCTGAAAAGACTTTTCACAGACTAGGCCATCAAGCAGTGGAAATCTAGGGCCTGCCAACTAGAATAAGATGGAAGCTATTCCCCTTACTTTGGGTTGAGACACTGAAAAGCTGTACCCCAAGAGTAGAGTGAAAGAAAAGGAGGTAAGTTTGTGTAGGGACTAGAGTGCATCACAGTCTTGGATTGAGCTTTTTAGAACTTATCCTGACTTGATGGGATGCTTAGGGATCTAGAAAAGGCAAAGAAAATTCCTCTCTGGAATTATAACCTCATCTCAGTACTCTAGTTACAAAAGATTTTGCAAATAGCATGTCCAACACAAGATTAAAATTAGCCAGAGCCACTCAAAGACAAGACAACATGAGAGAGAAACAATAGAGAGAAAAAATAGACCTGAAAAGGTTTTAGACATTAGAGTTACCACACAAGCTTTAAGGTGATTCTGCTATGTACAAGCTTGAGAATTTTTGTCAGATAATTAAAATTTATTTTAAAAAAGACCCAAATGTAAGTTTTGGAAATGAAACATACAGTAACTGAAATCAATAACTTAATGAGTGGGTTTAACAGTAGATTAGATATAACTGAAGAGAAAATTGACAAAAAAGGTAAGAATGCTTTACTTAAACTATGATTTGTAGACCAGCAGCATTGACATAAGAGTGTATGTTTCTTTTCAAATACAAGCATACCTTGGAGATATTGCAGGCTCAGTTTCAGACCACCATAATAAAGTAAGAGAGCAACTCAAATATTTTGGTTCCTCATTGAATATAAAAGTTCTGTTTATACTATTCTGTTGTCTATTAATAATGCAATAGAATTATGTCTAAAAAAACAATGTACATACTTTAGTTTAAAAATACTTTATTGTTAAAAATTTTAACCATCATCTGACAATGCCCCAAGCCTTCAATTTGTAAAAAAAAGAAAAAAATGTAATATCTCTGAAGCATAATAAAGTGAAGTACAATAAAACAAGGTATGCCTGTAGACTTTTTATCTTGGAATAGTTTCAGATTCTAGAAAAGTTGCAATGGTAGTACATAGTTCTCATATAACCCACACCCAATTATTATTATAGGATACATTTATTACAATTAATGAGTTAATATTGGTATGTTCCTATTTTTTCCATTTAGTAATTAGTTTCTTAATGTGGATTTAATGAAGTTATGTAACTGGATGGAAAGAACATGGGTTCTAGAATCAGATAGACTTGAATTTGACTCTGGGTTCTGCTCATTACCAGCATGATGATACATTCCTAATGACTAAAACCCATACTTTCATTCATCCTTCCTTAGTTTTTAAATATTGTCCTTTTAACATCTGGGAACTTTTAAAATATGTGGAATCTTGGCCCCCACTACAGATCTAGTTAATCAGAATCTATATTTTAAAACAATCTGTGGGTAATTTCAAAGACATTAAAATTTGATTAGAAAAAGAAAAACTTTCAGAAGGAAGCATAAACAAAAATAAATAAAAATATAGAAGAGAGTATAGGAGGAAGGGTAAAGACAATGAATATAGATGATGAGATGCAAGTCTTGAATAAGTACAATTGTGGTCGCCAAAGGGGATTACAGAGAGAATGGAAGAAAAACAATATTTAAAGAAACCATGGCTAGGAGTTTTCTAAAACTGATAAAAGATATCAAGCCACAGATTCTAGAAGCTCTAGGAACCCAAAACTGGAATGAAAGAAAATCCACACACAGATAAATCATAATAAGCCTGTTGAAAACTAAAACCAAAAACAAACAAAAACAGATTACCTTCAATGGAGTCCCTACTGAACTAACACTGACTTCTCAAGAGAAAGACTGGGAGCCAGAAGATTCTGGAATGATACCTCCAGAGGGTTGAAAAACATAACTACTAACCTAGAATTCTATACTCACAAAAAATGTTCTTTAGAAACTGTGACATGATAAAATTCAGACAAATAAAAAATGAGGTAAGTTTTTCTCCAATTACTTTGCACTAAAAGAAATATTAAAAAGTATCTTTCAGGTAGAAGGAAAATGATCCCAGATGGGAGTCTGGAGATGTGGAAAGAGACAATGAAAATGGAAAATATGTGAATAAATCGAAATTACTTTCCAGTGCACAAAATAATAATAATAATGTATTGTATGTTTAAAAGATATAAGCATTAAAATACAAACAACAGAGAGTGAAAGTATTAAATAAAACCAATAGTGTCCAGAAAGAAATATCAACTAAGACCAGATTTTGATGATATATATTATAATCTCTACAATGAATAACTATTAAAAGAATGACTATATAAAACTTTCAAGTTAATAGAGTGATAAATGCCATACATAAATAATTAGTCAAAAGGAAGGCCAGAATGGGGAGAAAAAATAGAATAGGCAAGGAAAATAGAAAACACTGAGTTAGATGGTAGATTTAATTCAAAATGTATCAATTTTTACATTAAGTGAATTGGTTGAAGTAGAAAAAGTCTGCCTCCATTTGGGGATGTTTGCTGACAGTTCTTCAGTCTCTGCCTTCCCTCTTGCCCTCTGTTGTACATCAGAGAAGAAAAATATGGGTGCTCCCTCCTAAGGTGCCAGTGGGAGCTTCAAGCCACACAAGCCCTCTTGTTTGGGGACATCCCAGTACCAACACAATCTCCTAACTATAGTCCCCTTTCCTTGCTCTCAAGTCATTTCAGGCCTGCATGGGAGGTCTCATCCGCTTTCCCAGACAGTCAGCAATAAATTTTTCACATGCTCTTGATGTGTATGTATGCTGTCATTGGTCTCCACTTTCAAACCAAAATCTGGATAGGGATCTATCCTGCTTCTTCAGGGTGGTTTAAACAAGCTCTAATTAAAAGACCAAGATTACAAGACTTGATTAAAACTACAAACCCAAATACATACCATTTACAAGAGCTGAATCTAAAACAGAGGCATACCAGAAAGACTGAAAAGATTGAAAAAGATAATATGGAAGTCACTGAATATATTTGGTTTTTCCAAAGATAGACTGCAAAATAAAATGCATTACCGGACATCAAGAGAATACTTTTAAAAACACTTAGTTCAGAGGACAATGAAAGTATTCTAAAACTGTAGCCTCTAATAAAAGAGCCTCAAAATATTACTGCACAAATCAAGCTTCAAACATGAAGAGAAACAGAAATGTGCAGTCATAGCGGAAACTGCTGCACACCAATTTCAGTAACTGGAAGAACAAGGAGATAAAAAGCTGGTAGAAATACAGGAGAGGTAACGACATGAGCCAACTGACACAGAGGACATATTTCCTACACTTCACACTGCAAGATACATTTTTATTCTCTCAAGTGGTATTATATAGAGCTTTCTTTTTTATCAATCATTGAGCTGTATTGAAAGTTTTATTTATATTACTGCTTTTGTACTACTTTCCACAATACTTTAGAGGTTCTCCACCTAGGATCAAGACCCTTCACGGTGTCAGAAACCCAGCCTTGTTCTACTTTGCTGTTCCACTATATATATATTTCCACTTTGAAGGCTGCCTCAGTCCAAAGTGGCTGCTGAAAACTCCAGCTATTAGGATCACATTCCAAATGCAGGAAGGAGAAGAGGGACTTCATAACCTCCTTTTAAATACACTTTCTACAATTTGCAAGTACTATTTCTACTTATATCTCGTTGGCCAGAACTTACTTTCACATCTAGCTCCACAGAAAGCTGGAAATAAGAGTCTTTATTTTGGTTGGCCATGTACCTAGTGAAAAAAAATTGAAGATTTCATTGTTACACAGGGAAAATTATAATGATATCCAGATACTGAAATAGAGAGGGGAAAAAAAAGATTCATATTTTATCTTATTTAATGGACATTTTCTCCAGCCTCAGCCTATCACCATCGAACAAAAAAGACAGAATTTGCCCCCGAGGGTCCCCTCTGTCTGTGTTCCTTTGGTGTGGTATGAAGGGGGACAGCAGGGAGGAACAGGCAAGCAAGCAATTACTAAGTCAGGGAGCTTTGCATCCAACCCTAAACATAGTAGGTTGACTAAATAGGCTGTGGAGGTCTTGCTTTGCAAGTTAAAGTGAGTGACTACACGGAAACTGAAGTCATTAATAAGTACAGCCTCTATTTCATGTAGGATATCCAAGTCTAAATCAAATGCAACTGTTGGAAGGCCAGATGTTATTCCCATTGCTACGGAAGTGATCTCACCCTGATGGTAACGCTGTTGTCCAACTGTTCATACTATTTATAACTAGAAACCCAGCTTTCAGGTTTAAAATGCATCAAGCTGCAAATAGCTATTGCTTTGAATGCTGAGCCTGTTATCGAAAATTCAAGCAGAATTCTCAGGCAGTGAGGTGTTAACTTTGATGGCTGTCAGGAGGCAAAGTCTTATGTAACTTGTAAACACGTGGGTCTATCATTACTCATGGTTCTGGACAACACCGCCACATTAACTGATGTGGGGAATCAAAGTCTTTGCTGTCCTCTTCTATGAAGAAAAAAGTTAACTGTGATGAATTATCTGCTATAGATTAGAAATTATATAACCTCAAAGCCAAAAAGGATATTTGGTAAGAGCCATAAAGAGTGCTAATCCTTAAAAGAATAAACAAACAAACAAAAAACAGCTACCAGAAAAAAGTGTGATGATAAACTTTGTCTGAAATATTTTCTTCTTTTTGTTTTTCCCTTTTTAAAATTTGAGGGTAAAGAAAGGCATTGTGAGAAAATAAGCTGTTTTTGAAGAATAGATTTTTTTAAGGATAATTATATCATTTCGGTTTTACCTATTCATCTCACAAAAACATGACTAGTATGATGAAGCAAAACCAATACAGTTATTAACACATCGATAGGTATACACACACAGCAGTTCATTCACATTATAAAAGAAATGGAACATTTAGATGGTTCCTATGTTGAGCAGCAGTATGAGGACAACTAATGCCTAAGACTGATAATCACGACAGCTTCCATTTCTGGGCAGGACACTTTCTATGGGCTGGGTCCTGTGCTAAGTGGTTAGTATGCTTTATCTCACCAGACAGACAAAGGTCCTATAGTTATCCCCAGGTTCAGCAGACGAAAGTATGGTGCAGGAAGGCTATGTCACTGGCCCCAACCCACATGGCCCGTGAGGAGTGCAGCTGGGTCTTAAGCCCAGGTTGCCTACTCCAGACCCCATCCTTGTAGGCCTGGGATTAGATGAAACATGTGTTATGGGTATAACAGTAGTTAGAGCTGAACTGTCCCTGGTGGCTCAGCTGGGAAAGAATCCACCTGCAGTGCAGAGACCTCAGTTCGATTCCTAGGTGGGGAAGATCCCCTGGGGAAGGGGTAGGCTACCCGCTCTGGTGTTCAGGGGCTTACCTGGTGGCTCAGATGGTAAAGCATCCGCCTGCAAAACGGGAGACTGGATTCGATCCCTGGGTGGGGAAGCCACTGTAACCCACTGTAGTATTCTTGCCTGGAGAATCTCCATGGACAAAGGAGTCTGGTGGGCTACAGTCCACGGGGTCGCAAAGAGTCAGACACACACACTATGTTACGGTAACTTAGTCACGCACCTGGCATCTAATGAGCTGCCAATAAAGGTAAAATGTAGGATATTTACACAAAAACAGACTAAAGCAAGTTGCAACACACATACCTTATCACTTCCATATCACTAAAGGTGCCTGAGAAGACAGTTAAGGTAATGAAAGATAACATGGTCAAGGTTCCCTTTTTGGTTCTACCACTGCTTCACAGTTACCCCTGGGGAGCAGCCCTGGATCACTCCCCAAGAGGCTGTGTGGCTTTGGACTAATCACTTACCCTCTCTGGACTGACCTTCTTCTGACTGGAATGATTCCTAAACTTTCCCTTTGCTCTGAATTTCTACAATTTTAAGCCACCTCTAAGATTTTGCCTGTGAAAACCAGTCCAGGAGCCCAAGGAAGCTAAAAGCTTCCTTCACTATGCAGAAAAGATTAACTGCCCTATTAAGAGAGCCAGGCACTGAAAATATCAGCGTTTTCCACCAAGGATCAACTCTTGTTTCGATGGCAACAGGCTGTGGTAGCAAAACTGCAAGCTTCCAGAGTGGGCATGACTCAAAACCAGAGGGCCAGGGAAGACGTTTAGAAGAGCTGATGGAATTGAATTATGCCAACGACTTTCATAATCCTGCTCTGTGTGAGACCCAAGTGCGTCAGTCCAGATGGAATCGCACACAGGCTTTCTGCCGGGCGCAGAGGCAGAGGCTCTGAAGTCTGCTCCATGGCGCCCACTAGTGGAAGGCCACACTGCGGCGAGGCAGACTTGCTGGCTGCGGGAGTTCCAACAGCTCCACACTGTGTAAGCCCAAAGTCCATGCCTGCATCTCCTGACTAGGAAAACAGGAGAAAAAGGAAGTGTCTTGTCCAAGGCCATCAGCTAGCTAGAGACAGAGCTGACCTTCTGGCAGCCATTTTGGTCAACACGGAGAAGTTATCTTTTGTACAACAACCAATGGTTCTCTATCATAACCTACTATTTCATATTCGTTTGTTGCAAGATTCTGATCGTCATATGAAAAGAAAATGCAAACTTGCTCTATCCTTAACCCAAGGAAATATAAAATGTCTGGACAAAGTCTTAGGTCTTCTTATTTTTGTCATTTAATAGCTGTGCAAATAAATGCTAGGGATCCCATGAATATTTTATTCATTAATATTTTATTGGAATCAGAACTCCCATGAATATTTTATTGGAATCAGAATGGTTCAGAGAAAAAAATTATATTGGAAGTAAGAATTATTTGACAGATACTTTGAACTTCTCATGAGTGACCAGGAGAGCATAGTACTAACTCTCAAATATAAAAAATCTGACAAAATCCACCAAGTCATCTCAAGTATTGTGGTGTATATCTGTGTGTGTCAGTCAGTCACTCAGTCATGTCCAACTCTTTGAGACCCTATGGACTGTAGCCTGCCAGGCTCCTCTGTCCATGGGAAAGAGTGGGTTGCCATTTCCTCCTCTAGAGGATCATTCCAACCAGAGATTGAGCCTGTGTGTCTTGTATTGCAGGCAGATTCTTCACCATCTGAGCCACCAGGGAAGCCCCCAAGTATTATGGTAGTAATGCCACTTATTTTCTGTATAGTTAACCATACTTGAAACATTAGGCGTATCTGTGTTCAAACAGTGCTTAACCATGTTAGGAAAATAAAAGCAGCATGTGACTCAATTCTTATCCCCCGAGAAGCTGCACATCTTCACAAGGAAATGAGATATACATAGTGTATACAGCATGTGACTGTATCTGAAATAAATTTAATGCCCCAGAAAAAAGTTTGGAGGGAGTCTCAAGAAGGGCTACTGACAAATCTAGAAACAGCTAGGAGAACTTCATGGAGCAGACAGGACTTGAGACAGGACTCCCAACCTTAAAGGATGAGAAGGGCACTGAAGTAGAAGGAAACGAAGACAAGCGTTCAGAAAAGGCAAATGCACAAGGACGCAGGGTGGTGGCTGAGGCAGGAGGAAGTTCCACAGAGAGAAAGAGTGTGTTCAGAGCAGTCCTGTCATGGCTCATCGCATCGTGACTTTAGTTTCCCAAACCTCGCCCAATCCCTAGCTGGCTTCTCTCTTGCCTCTCTATCCAGGCTAGATCTCACGGTCAGCCTTTCCAATCAAGGTTGTCGACCCTATGCTTTAGCTATCCTGGTGCCTCCCTTTGCTCCTAGCCCTGGGCAGTCGGACACTCCTGGGGCATCACAGAGACTGGGCTCCTGAGTCCCACCTGCTTGGCAATCCTTTTCTTCGTTTCCCATTTATCAGTGACCAGTCCAAACCACGTTCAATCTCATTCTGGTGGTCATTTCCTTGCCACCGTCACATTTTCTATGCCTCTCATCTCAGAAGATTGAGGCTCTTCTACATGGGCACCAACATAACTTCTCCCCCTTGAAAATGTTTCTTTATTGCCACTTATTCTCCTTCTATGTTCCAGATCACCCCCTCACCTTTACACATCACATCCTCAGGTTAGACTATAATTAGGTCCCCCTAGTCCCCATATCTTCAGTCTCTTGCAGGAGAGAGCACTGTCTTAGCTATTGGGCATTCTGTGTGTTACGTGAATATGAGACACACAGAGGAAAACATCTACCTTACGGAGTCAGTCCTGCAGCTTCTTTGATTTCAACTGGGATTAGTAATTGCCCAGGGAGACTGTCCATGGAGACAAGAGGATGGATTCAAGAGAACTTCTCAGGAGTCAAGGTCAGACCATCATCGCTTCACTTGCCTGAGCTTCAGTTTTGGTACAAACAAGGAGTAGGGACAAATGAGGTAGTAAACTTGAAAATGAAAAGGTGTTTATTTTCTTTAAATGGAATACACCAAGGAATGAACTCCTCTCAATTGTTAAATGAAAGACTGCTGAGTAAGCATTCTAATATTGGTACAAAATTGTTTTCTTTCTTTCTCTGCCCGCCCCTCCCACTCTCCTCCCGCCCCTCCTTCCTTTCTTTTCTTTCCTACAAGATTTGGCGGGAAAAGGAATAAACTAACTTTTGATAGTAAAAAGATGTTTCAGAATATGTGATAATGACAACAAAACCCTAAGTCATGTAGTGGGTAATCTGTTTTCATGTAGCAGGTTTTTGTTTCAAAAACTATGGGGCAGAAAATCTTTTTTTATCTTTTTTTTTCTGCTCGTAAATGATAAATTGGAACAGTGTATTATTTGCTATTTGTTATGAAAATGTGGGGGCTGCAGGCTAACCTCAATGCATGCTCCCTCCCTTGTGAGATTCTGTTTGCTCCACACACCGCCTACTCTCCGCTCTAACAGCCCTTCTGTTTCTGTATGGTTTGGCACTGGTAAAACAGAAAGATGTGCGGAGTGCTCACAAAATGCAAAACATGCTAATGAAATGTGGGAATTAGGGATTTTTTCCCCCACTGGCTCCATCATTTTCATTATGTCTTATTTCTTCTCTAACTCCTCATCAAAGGTTTTAAATTGAACAGACTATAAGGAAAGTTTTCAATGAGATTGTAATTGAGTATATAAAGTGTCCATAAATTGAACCAACAGAATGAAATTTTCTGAAGTCTCTTGAAAGCTCCGACGGCATGCCAAGCTTTCCTTCTGTCCTGGTTCAACTCTTGGAAATCAAACCAGAGTTTAATTTTTTAATTCCTGAAGCAAAGGCACTACAGTGTTGTGCTACTTAATTTTATGTATCAACTTGGATAGGTCATAGTACTCAGATATTTTGTCAAAAGACTATATAAATGTCTCTGTGAAGGTATATTTTAGATTAACACTTAAAACAGCAGACTGTGAGTAAAGCAACTTACTCTATAATGTGGGAAGGTCTGAGTCAATCAAGTTGAAGATTTTGAGAGAAAAAAGATAGAGAGGTACCTAAGGAAGGTACCTTAGGTACCTGCCCTCAGACTGCCTTCCACTCCAACCTGTAGCATCAATTCATTCCTGAGTTTCCATCCTGCCCACCTGCCCTGGAGATTTTGGAGTTGCCAGCCTCCATTACTACGTAAGTCAATTCCTTAAAATAACATACACTCTCTCTTTTAGAATATAGTATGGTAGTGGTGGTTTAGTTGCTGAGTCATATCCAACTCTTGTGACCCCCATGGACTGTAGCCCCAGGCTCCTCTGTCCATGGGATTTCCCAGGCAAGAATACTGGAGTGGGTTGCCATTTCATACTCTTGGGGATCCTTCCTGACCCAGGGATCAAACTTGGGTCTCCTGCATTGCAGACAGTCTCCTGCATTGCAGGCAGATTATTGACACTGAGCCAGCAGGGAAGCTCATAGTATACAGAGGGTTATTTTCTCTCTCTCTATATATATATATATATAGAAAAAATATATTGTTATTTTGTGTACACACACATTCCCCCCTACGGGTGCTGTTTCTCTGGAGAACCCTAATAAAAGTGGATATCCTTTTGTTAATTGCAGAGAGAAAACAACATCTCCAGCAGAAATAAATTCTCTGAATTTGGAATTACAGAGGATACTCTCCAGGCTAGGACTGTTATACTTTCCCTGAAAAGCTCTATTTACCCTGCTGTCTGGCAAAGGTTTAGGTAGAGTCATCTAGTCTGAAGGTCACACTCTGTCTTTTATGTCCATCAGGTCCAACAAGTTCCTTTCTTTGATAGTTCCTATTTAGCAATAACAGGAAAAAATTGTTTTATGTCTCTGGTATATCTTCTGATAAAACAATTCAAAAGCAAAATTTGAAAACACAAGTGTATCTAGTCTTTGCACAAATATCTAAACATCCAACAATGACTCACCTGTCCTCTCTCACAACATCCAACACAAGTATTTCTGCAGCAATTCCAGATCTCCCTAGGATGAAATGAAATTTAAAAATTCCACCTTTTTTGTTAGAAATAAGCAAACAGTGGGATTAGTCTTGATTCACAAGGCCATCTGAAATGCTTCATGGGCTCAGCCAAAGACAGGACCA